CTGTGTGGGGTTGGGCCTGGCAGGTGTGCGAATGGTCTCTCACCTTTCGAGATGGTCAGGGCAAAGTCTCCTAGGGCCTTGGAGGCCAGAGGAAGCTCGCAGAGCCAACGCACTCACGCTGGGGACACTGAGACTCAGAGGGGGGCGGGCCGGGAGTCTGGTCTCTCACTCCCCAGCGAGGGTCTCCTGTGTGTGTTGCCTTCGTGGGTTAGAAGAAACCCTCGCATGCCCAGGGTGCCCTATAGATCCCCCCTTTCCAGGCCCACAGCCCCCCGAAGCTCGGAGTCAAGAATCAGCCTGTCCTGCCCTCCTTGTAGCTGTGGCCTCGCAGCACCGGCCTTGAGGAGAGGTCAGCTCTGCCCAGGGAGGGGGAGAGGGACAACTGCACAGCCCCTCTCTGGTCCCACCTTCGCAGAGGTTAAGCAGGGCTGGTGGGGCCACCCTGTCCCCCATCTGGGCCAGGGGCTGTGGCAGCCTCAGCCAGGAAAGGGTTTGCTGCGGAGAAGCCCACCCCAGAAACCTGAGCAAAGGCGCATCCTCAGAGAACTGAGGCGGGGTCACACTTCTGTCAGGCGTGCCCCTGTCAGGCCTGCCCCCTTCTCTGAGTCGGAAAACTCAGCCCTCCCCGCACAGCCTCCCCTGTACCCAGAGCCCCTGCATTCCCGGAGCCTGGCAGGTTGCTTCCGTGATCCTGCAGGGTCCCGGTGTGACATCACCGTCTCCATGGCAGCATTCAGTGGCCTGGCTGCTGGCAAGGCTGCCTGGCGAGGCCGTGTGGCTGGGAAAGCGAACAGGGCCCTGGGAAGCCACGGCCAACCCCGGACTCCTGCGGCTGGGCCCTGAGAGACAGCGTGCCGCGCGGGCCTGGGCTCAGTGGCGTTGGGAAGGCTGAGAACACCACAACAGGCTCCCGGCGGAGAAGCAGCTCGGCTGTGACGAAGGAACAGGACGACGTGTCCCTTGTGCCTTCTTCATGGCCGTGTGTGTGCCGTCCAGTTGTTTCTAGGGGCCTGTCGTGCCAAGCTCCTTGTTTATTAAGGAGTTTTGAGACCGGCCCCCTTCTGGGGGGCCCCATCTGATGGGGGCAGCACAGCACCACGCTGCTTGGAAAGGTGCAGGCTCTGTGGGAGACATCCCCACTTCCCTCCCTCTAGCCCTGATTGGAGCCCCCAAGGCAGCCAGGTCTGCCCCTCTGAGGGGTTCTTGAGCAGGTATGGACATGTCTGCTCTGTTAGGCCAGACAGACCACCCAAGCTTGCTTGCACCCCAGTTCTGTGGGGGCCTTGCTCCTTGTTTCTAAGTGACCTTTCCTTGGTTTCATCCCCAGAGACTCAGCTGGTGTGTTCTGGGTCTGCAGCCTGGGGATCCCGAGGGAGGAAGCATGAAGACAGGCCTTTTGCGGTGGGCAGCCACACAGCCTTGCTGTGTCAGTGAGGAACTCGGGCTGCACGTAACTGGAATCCCATGAACAGTGGGGTTTGTTTATCTCCTGTCATAAGGAGTCGTGGGCTGGCTGGTGCCATAAGGGGTCCAGGCCCCTCTGTCTCCTGTACTCAGCTTGTATCTCCATCCCTGTGCTCACAAAACAGCTGCTGTGCCTCAGGCCATCACATCCACGTTCCCAGTAGGGAAACACTGGTGGGGGAGAGTTGTAATGTACTGTGACCTGCTTGGAAAGGTGCAGGCTATGTGGAAGTACGTTCAGGAAGCATTGGATTTTTCAGTAGACTTCAGAGTGCATCACAGTGGCCAGAACTGTCACGTGCCCCTTCTAGTTGCCAGGGAGCTTGGGAAGTTAGCTGAGCACACACAAAATCGAGGTTCTCTTAGTAGGGAGGAGGCTAGATAGAGATCAGTGTCATCCAGGTGTGTCGGCCACACAAAAGGTAGGGACTGTCAAGTTCATACCTGTGTCCCTCCCAGCCACTTGGCACACAGGGGCACTTAGTGGAAAAGTTTGGGGGTGCGCTCGCTCTTCTCTTAGGGGGGCTACTTATCCGATGACAAGTTTGCCCTTGTTCTCAGGAAGCCCCTGGTCAAGTAGAGGAGGTGTAGCTCCCGGCCCACCACCAAGGGCACGGATACATGGAGACGTGAGCTGCTTATACACTCCCACGGCGGTGGGCGGGCCGGTAGCTCGCAGCCTCTGCAGCGCGTGCCAGGACAGAGCAGTGAGACGCCCCGGAGGCCCGCAAGAGGATGCCCCTCTCCAAGGCCAACTGGTCAAAGGGAAGAAAGGCCTAGGAATGCTCTGAAGGGGAGGCAGTGCCCCCCTCAGAGCCCCCAGTCACCCAGAGCAAAGTCTGGAATTCGGTTTTCATCCCAGTGGGCTGATGAGGCAAATCAGAGCCCAAGGGAGTTACATTTCCAACCAAAGGGCAAAGGCATGACTCCCCAGGGGAGCATGTGTGCTCCGGGGGAGGGGGTCTGCCCAGGCTCCCCTGGGAAGTCCCAGAGGTAGCCTTGCTTGGGCCAGTGGCCTGACAGGAGACTCTCCCCTCACCAGTGTTTGCCTTGGTTCCCATGCCCATCCTCCTGAGACCCAGAGCCAGCTCTGCCCTTGCTGGCCCTGCGGCCTTCCCGCCTCTACAGTGCGGTGATCAGAATCGCTCACCTCTCCTGGGTGCAGCCAGACGTACTGAACATGTGCAATGGAAATTCCACTCCCTCCGCTGACAGCTGAGCTCCTGCACTTCTGGAGATTCTTTCTGGCCAGGTTACATCTTCACATGCTGGGTTTTCTTAAAATGAGGTTCACCGGTAACGTGGCCGCACCATCCAGGTATAGGGCACAGCCAGCTCTGCCCCTGCCCTCCCCCAGGCTCTGCTGTCCTGGCCCTTTAAGGTTCCAGCCCAGCAGGCCTGGAATTCAGCCCTGTGACCTAAGTTGCTCCTCAGCCAAGCTGACCAGGAAGAGAAGGCCCAGCTGTGGGAGTCAGGGAAGCTCAAAGCTGGAATTTAAAGGGCCGCTAGAGACTGGGGGTCCCCACTGCTTGGGTCTCCCCATGGCTCCTTGCACAGGATGACCTGACTCCAGCCAGCCTGCCTCCACCCTTTTGCCCCAGAGGAGGCGGGGCAAAGGGCAGGAGGATGAAGAAGGACCCCCGGCAGGGACCAAAGGAGCCAGCTAATGTTGGGCACCGGGCCAGGAGTCCAGGATCCTTAGTTCTTCTGCCTGGCCTCAGCAGAGACACATTCACTGGCTGTTTGCAAGGGGAACACTGAGGATGGGGTGGGGGGCACAGCCACAGGCCCACCCCACATCTAGCCCTCAGCTCGTCATGGGGCCAGGCCCTCTGAGGGCTTTGCCGTGGAGGCAGCTTAGAGAGGGTGACGTGTGTGGGCTTTGGCGTCAAGTGTGGCTGTGTGACTTTGGGCAAATGGCTTAACCACTCTGTGCCTACTCAGGATAAAGGCTTCCAGAACTGAAGAGTTGTTCTTCTTCACTTGCCCAGCCTCCACAATTCCAGGCACAAGGAGCCCTTGAGTTGGGGGTGAGCCTCACAGAACCCCTCGGTGATGGTCTGCAGGCAGGGGAAGATTTCAGGGGCCTCTGGAGGAATCACAGTGCCTTGCCAGGAGATGGGCATGTGACACTGTGTGTGTGTGTGTGTGTAACAGCTTTATTAAGATATAACTCATAACCACACAATTCACCCATTTATAGTGTACACTTGAGTGGTTTTTATTATATTCCCAGAGTTGCACATCCATCACCACAGTCAATATTGGAACATTTCATCACCTCATGAAGAAACTCGGTGCCCTTCTAGCCGCACCGTGCATCCGAGCCCTGCTTCCCATCTGCATAGATTTCCCTCTGTGAGTGCATCATGGAGAGGGAACCCCACATAGGGAGAACTTTCATAACTGGCTGCTTTGACTCAGCATTTATTCTCCAGGTCCGTGTGTGCTGAGCTCGAATCGTTGCTTCTCTCTTTGGCTGATGAAATAGTCCATTGTATGGACAGTGACTCCATTTTTTAAAATTCATTCTTCTGTTGGTGGATGTCTGAACTGCTTCACCTAGATGGGGAACTTCTGGGTCAGAGAGGAATCTCTCAACTTTAATCACTTGAAAAACCATCAGGCTGATTTCCACCACGACTGTACCCCTTTCCGTTCCCACCAGCAGGTCCCATGGCTATGCCAACATTTAGTACTGTCTTCTTTTTATTTTAGCCATTCTGGGGAGCGTGAAATGGAATCTCATGGTGGTTTGGACTTGCATTTTCCTGATGACAGTGACATCAAGTACTTTTTCATGCAGTTATTGGCCATGTCCTGAAGAAAGGTCTACTCAGGTCTTTTGGCTTATTTTTCGCTGGGTTATCTTGTCTTTTTACTACTGAGCTGTAAGAGTTCTTTCTATATTCTAGGTACAGGTCTTGATCAGATACATGGTTTACAAATATTTTCTCCCACTCCCTGGGTTATCTTTTTACTTTCTGGATGGTGTCTTTTTGAAGCAAAAAGATTGTCATAGGGATGAGGTCCAGTTTGTCTGTCTTTTCTTATGTTGGTCATACTCAGGGTGTCACATCTGGCTGTACGTTTTTGATCAGTCATTTCCCTGTGGAGACAATGGGGAAGGGATGGCATGAGGGCTAAGCTGAGCCATGGATGGGTCAGTGGCCCCTGGGGAGTCAGGGACGTCATCAGTTCCCTGTCCTCAGGGGTCAGGCACTCACCAGGCCTCACTAACCGATGCAGGCTGAGAAAGACATTCAATCAAGGACTTGCACCCCTGAGCGGATCATTAAAACTGAAAAGTGAGTTTAGGCCCCTTGAGACAGAGGGGCCCTGGGTTCAAGTCCTGGGAATGCCTCTCAGTGATGTGGAGCTTGGGAGAGAAACGTCATCTTTCTCAAGTTTCTCATCTCTAGAAAGATGTTTCCTCCTGTGGGGAAAGTGGATAGAGGTGGTGCCCCTTCTTCCATCCGGGCATCTGGAGGAGGCAGCCAGGAGCTCAGGCACTGACGGGCTCTTGTGTTCCCCAGCCATGAAAGCCGACCGGAAGCGCCTGAAGGGAGAGAAGACCGACCTGGTGAGCCAGATGCAGCAGCTGTATGCCACGCTGGAGAGCCGCGAGGAGCAGCTCCGGGACTTCATTCGCAACTACGAGCAGCACCGCAAGGTCAGGCCGTCATCCCTTTGCGGTCCCTTTCCTTCCCCTCCCCTCACCTGCAGGCCCAGGTCTGGCCTCCGGAACCCCCAGAACACAGACGCATGTCACACTGGGCGCATGTCACACTGGGCTCATTTGGGAAGGCCCACACACACCTGGCGCAGGTGTAGAACTCCTGGCACAACTCCTGCTAGGGTGGGGTGGGTCGGACATCGTCCCTGCCTCCTGGATAACAAGCCTAGATGGCTTAGCCCAGTCGGCAACAGTGGATTTGGGGTTTAACTGACCCAAGTTCGATCCCAGCTCCTCCTGTGTGTGCCCTCAGGCATCTCTCTTCCCCTCCCAGAGCTTCCTCAGTTCCATGGCGCAGACTTGGCAGAGCTGTGATAGGCTGTTTGAGACAGTAAGACAATGAGCTCAGCAGGGCACATAGCAAGTGCTCGGTGAATGTTAGCTGTGTGTCTTATTAGTAACACCTTAACAAAAGCGGAGAGGGACTGGGAAGCATCTGGAACGCAGGGAGAGAGTCTAGGAAGACTTCCCAGAGGAGGTGACACATGCACTGGGCACTGTGAGGTGAGTAGGCGTTGATGGTCAGATGACTGAGGAATTTCTTCAAGAAATAAAGTCTAGCGTATGTGGGTGGACGTACCAAGAAAGGTACCGAAACCAAAAGAAAAAGCCATCCCCCCAACCAGGCAGGTCTAGGGAGCCACAGGGCTGCGAGAACACCTGGGACCCTCTGATGTGCAGAAACTGTTTTTCGAGGAGTGAGCCCCAATGATGAGCTGTGACCAAGGTCCCCAGGTACAGGGGAGTGGGCATTTCTGGCAGCTGGAAACATCTTTGGCCGTGAGGTTTGAGTGGCTCTCGGGACGGAGGATGGCCAGGTGGCCACGTGCCTTTGCGGGGGTGGCTTCTCAGCGGGACCTCAGACGCCAGATTCTCAGAGCCCTAATGTGAATGTGAATGCTCAGGCACACAGTCCACTTCCCAGTGCCCCTCCCAGCACTGGCCTCCGAGCCTGGCCTCCCACGTACGCCTCAGTCCAAGTTCAGAGGAACAAATGAGTTATTTCCACTGTTGACTGTTCACAAGCCGCCCAAGGCAGGGGACAGAAAAGGGGTCATGGCCGTCCCCACAAGGTGTGGGTGGCTTGCTGGACATTCCAGCAGCCACCCCCGGGTTTGAGAGCTGTCACTTGGCCGTGTCTTTCAATGGGGCTTGTGCTCATAACCGTGCTCTTGCTTGGGAATGGAATTCCCCAGGGGAGCCACTGTCCCAGCGCCTCTCCATTAGAGTCACAGGTACCGGGGGGCATTCCCCACGTCCAGCCAGAGTGGAGCTGGATCAGCAGAAGCTTTGTAAGTGGGGTGGCCATGGGCAGCCCTTGGTGCCACAGCTGAGCTGCAGGTGTCACTGTTACAGAAAGAATCCCAGTGCCCACCCACAGCACCTTCAGAGTCACCCTAGAACATGGAGTTTGGAAAAGATCAACCTCCTTTTTTAAAATTTACTGTCTTAAATTACTATCCTATACTTGCAAGAGCCGGCATCATGGCACCCTTGTTGCTAGCGCTTGATTTTTCACCCTTACTAGACCTAACCTCACCTCCCAGGTGGCAGGACTGAGGCTGGGAAGGGTCAGATGACTGAGTGGCTTGTTTTGAGTTAATCTGGAGAAGCAAATCCACATGCCCTGGTTTATTCTGCTCCCGCCAAGATCTTGCAATTGGCTTGCAAAAATAACTTGCATCTTATGTACAAGGCAAATGTCCCCATGATCAGGATTAATGGAGCCTCAGTTTCCCCCACTCACGCTGGACCCAGCCACTCAGCCTGCTGTGGCCCATCCAGCAACTCCCGGGAGCCCCGTGGGCTCACGAGCATCAGAGCCAGTGGCTACAAAGAAATGGAAAGACAAAGAAACGATCCCGAGGGTCCTCCTAGACCTTCCTCCTAATTTGGGACTTGCGATAAGCAGCTCCTGACACCAGCCCACTCTGAAGGACGGTCCTTACGTGGTTGTTCACCTCCACACGCTTCACTTCCCAGGCCCCTGCAGGAGCTGAGCTGCTCGGCCCTGGGAGTGGGTGCTCGGATGCCCAGGGGGCGACACCCATCTGGAGGGGTGCCGGGAAGTGCTGAGTTGTCCGTCCTGTGGCTCAGGGCCCACCTGTCACTCTACACTGAGTCTTGCTTCCTGGGCCTGAGGAGGTAGCTTAGCCTGTGACTTTGTTATGGGGCCATCTGGCACTCTCTGCTTGTGTTACCAGCTTCTCGCCACCTTCACTCTGGGATGTGGCCACAAAGGAGGTGGTCTGGGTTCAGGGGAGCTCAGTAATGTGTCCAGAGCCCCCTCTGCTTGCAATGGGCGGAGCTGGGACCCAACACCCAGGCATCCCGACCCCACGATGCCGGTGTCAGCCTCACCCCCACTGCCCATGCTGGGACATGCAGGCTGGCGACACAGGGCCAGGCTGCCTGCACTGTCATCCGGTGACCTTCAGTGGCAGCCTGGCAGCTGTGTGACTGCCGGGCTGCTGTCTGGGACCTGGCATGTCCTGCAAATTGAAGTGCAAGGGGTCCCACTCCTGGGGGCAGGGGCTTGGGTCTGGTTTGCGCTTGCTGACAGCATTTGTGAACACTGGCTGAATGGCCAAGGTTAGGCGCCAGTACAGCAGCAGGGCGGGGTGGGGGGGCTGCCATCCAAGCTGGGCCAGGGGAAGGGCCCCCAGCGAATGAGCCTGCGGTGTGCCCGGTGCCCTGCTGAGTGCTCTGTGGAAGCGCTCCTTCAGGCTGCCAGGAGCCCTTGAGCTCCGTGGGGTGCTCTCCCCGTTTTTCAGAGGAGGAAACTGAGGCACAGAGAGTCTTTGCACGTCACCATTGCAAAGCCACAGGACAGTGACAGAGAACGGGGCAGGACCCTCCCTGGCCGTCCATTCTCTGGCGAGGTGGAAGCCAGGCCTTGGGCAACCGGCTTGTGAGGCAAAGCAGGACACTGCTCGCCCTAGGGCCCCAGGGCCCCAGGGCCCCAGGGGGACCTTGAGTTTGGCCCTTCAGCCGCAGAGGGTCTTTCCGCCCCAGGAAGGACGCCTGCATTCTGGAACTCTGCTCCTGCCATCTGCTCCAGCCCGTGGCCAGTACTCTGGGCCCCTCTCCCACCACCTCAGAACGAACAGCTCAAGCCAGGGGGGCTGCCTGGAGGCGGGCCCTCAGGACTGGCAGAGGCTGTGCTGCATTCAGACACAGCAGCGAGTTGGGGGTTCAGCCTGTTCCCTCAGCAGCCGTGACCTTGGGGTGCTAGCCATGCTGACGGGGCTGAGGTATCTCCTGCTCTGTCCCTGTTGTCAGCAAACAACAAAGTCCCAAATCAACTCCCGACCCTAACTTGTCAGACTCCCGGAAGTCATTCCATCTTTATGACAATTCTTTCAAACAAGTAATAGCGGCCCCTCCCCATTTTAATATGGAGAAACCAAAACAATGGGTGACACTCATTCCCTCATATAGTCACTGAAAAAAGTGCAGCATCTGCTATGGGCTCACCCTGGGCCAGTCTCCCTCCTGGAGCAGAGTCAGACTTTCCTCCCCAGAGCTGTGGCACCCCGCCACGGGCTGGGGCCTCCCCACATCCTCTGTGGCGGGGACCCGAGGAGGCCCCGCTCCCTCGTGGTAACGCCCTGCGCGCCCCCTAACCCCTCCAGGAGAGCGAGGACGCAGTCAAAGCCCTGGCGAAGGAGAAGGACCTGCTGGAGCGTGAGAAGTGGGAGCTGCGCCGCCAGGCCAAGGAGGCCACGGACCACGCGGCGGCCCTGCGCTCCCAGCTGGACCTCAAGGACAACCGGATGAAGGAGCTGGAGGCCGAGCTGGCCATGGTGAGACCCCTGCCCGCCCCGGGGCTCTCTGGGCGTCCTCAGCCGGGGTCCTGAGGTAGAGCAGAGCGGGGTCCCCTGGAGGGGGCCTGGTTAGGGCGGGGGGCTGGGGATGGTGAGCCCCACCAGCCCGAGGCACTGCCTTCCAGCCACCTGGGCGGGAGAGGAGGGTGGCAGATGTGGGGGTGCTGGGAGACCACCCACTCCCACGCCTCCGCACTCCCAGGCTGCTGTAAGTTTAAAAAAGGAAGAATAATGCTCCGCGAAATAAGCCAGAAAGAAAAAGAAAAATACCGGATGGTCTCACTCATAGCAGGAATTTAGAAAACCTAAATAAGGGACCAGGAAAATGACTAATTAATACAAAGTAAAAATCAAAATCAACAAAACAAGCAACTATAAGCCAGAGACATACTACGGGGGGGCGGGGTGGCTGGGAGAGGAAAGACTAGGGTCAGAATAAGGGGGGTGCAGTTGTATGGGGAATAGAATCAAAATGAAAATGCAGACATTGTGCGAAAATGAAAAATGATGTAAGAATTATATAAAATAAAATATTAAGAATAAATAAATAAATAAATATATATATTTTTTTAAAAAAGGAAGGAACTGTATCAAAATGTCAGTGACAGTTCTCTCTGAGTCGTGGGATTTCAAGTGACTTTATCCACCCCCTGCCCGCCACCCTCCCCACTCCACCTCCTACCATTTCCGATGCATCTGTAGTAAAACTGTTTCTTGGCTCAACAAGGAAAAATTACGTGTTTTTCTAATCAAAAGCAAGCTTCAAAGTCCTTCCAAACACCTTCCATGGAGACACCCGGCCCGCGTGTGGGGCAGCTCTCCCCCGGCCCCCACTGCTGGCCCAGGAGGCCCCCCCAGAGCCCGAGTCTGCTGTCCCTACTCCCGAGTGACCACAGCCACTCCCTGAACTTCTCTGGGCTTCAGTGCCCCGTAACTGGAGCAGGGTGGGAGCGAGAGTTTCAGTGCCACCTGCCTTCCCACGGGGTGACTGGGCAACCTCGGGAACCTCATGGCTGGGAGGAGAGTGCAGGGACTGCTGTGGGGTGGAGAGGCCCACGTGGCTCTGAGGGGCTTGGTGTGCTCTCCTGCAGAGCGTGATGCTAACCAACTGTGGTTACAGCGGTGGGGTCTGGCTTCAAATCTAGCCCCCATTGCTTCCTAGCTGTGTGACCTCAGTTTACCTCTCTGGACCATAATTGCATATGCTCCAAGGGCTCTTGGGGGCAGGTCAGGATCCCCGGGTCCTTCCTGAGTCTCCTTGTCCAATGCTGACCCCTAGTGGTGAGAGCTGCCGGCAGGAAATGCTGCCGCTGCCAGGAGCCCTCTCAGATGCTTCCCACCCGTGAGGTCCGGGTGCTGGCGGGGGGCTGCCTTCTGCAGCCCAGACACCTTTCAAGTTGCACACTTGGGTGAGGGGGAGGGCGTGCAGGGTCAGGCAAGGTCCCTGTTCTCCCAGGCCTTCCAAATGCCCTCTGCACAGACAGATGTGAGGCACTAGCCTCAAGCATCCTGGAGGACTCCAGGGCCTTTCAGTATTGGGATCCAGCGCCCCTCTGCTCCCGCCCTCACCATGCCCAGACCCTCAGCCGATTTCAGTTCTGGCCAACAAAACCAGGCTCTTGCCTCCTCCTGTAAGCATCTGCTAGCATGAGCCCTTAGGGTGAATGTTTGCAACTCAGGATGATGGATTTGTTGTAGTGTCTTCCCTGGGGCTCAGAGGAAAGGGGCTTTACTAATTGCCATGGCAATCCCAGTGTTGCTGGGGTCCCACCTAACTGGGGGTACCTTCCAGGGCTGCCGTTAACGGAATGTCACAACCTGAAGGCCTCCGGGGCTGCCTGCTCCAGGCGATGTGTACCCAGCTGTGCACTCTTAGAGAAATCACACAACCTCTCTGAACTGGCTTCTCCTCTGTCAAGCACAGATAGTCCCATGCCCCCTGTCGGAGACCTGGGGCGCCTGCGCTGAGCACATGGGGGTTTCCTAAGCTGTGGGGCGATCGTCACCCGACTTGGGAGGCAGGGCTGGCACACTCAGCCTCCCTCTACTGTGGGGAATTACGTTCTGGGGTCTGGCATTGGAAAGGGAGTGACTTCACAGACTCGTGGGGTGTCAGAGCTGGAGGGACCCCATAAGGTCACTGGGCCCAGGCTCGTCATTTTACAGATGGAAAAACAGGCTCAGAGGAGGCGGCGGCTTGTGTAAAGGACTCAGCTGGTCAGTGCGATGTGGGTGTAGCAGGCTCTCGACAGGGACTGTCCACTCTCAGCTGGAATCTTTCTCAAGACACCAGCTTTGCCAGGAGGCACCTGGGGTCTTAGACAAGGTATAGAAAGTTCTGGAGTTCGGAGAGATAAGACGAGGTTTTTCATTTTCTCTGCGTTTATATTGGGGGAAAGTTAGCACTCGGGGGTGACTCTCCATCTGTAGCATCGAGGTTCTCTGGAGACCCCAGTGCAAGGCCCTAGGGCCCCTCCCTGTGTCTGTGCCCCTCTACCCTGGCATGAGCCTGGGGAGCCAGCTGGGAAGCAGAGACTGTGATGAAGAGTGTGCGTTAATACATTTCTAAAATAATTTGAGATTGCTTCTAACAAAACCCCATCTGCCCAGGAGAGAGCTGCCTGCCCTGACCCCACGCTGCCCTCGCCCTGGGCTTCCTGGGGTTCCCCTCATTCTCGTGGTGTGGCCCTGACAGCCAGGTGGGGGACCTGCCCTGTCCCCAGCCTGCATCATGTAGCACCTGTGATGGGAGGTCACAGGTCGAATTTGAGGGCAGCGTGGGTGATGGGAGCCAAGGGGCGGTTTCTTACCCTCTCACCAGCTGGTCCTTGGCAAAAGTAAAAGTGTGCTGGGACCCTGGGAGTCCTCAGGTGAGGCCTGGTGTGCAGTGCCCCTTCCTGATGGGCACACAGCACAGAGCCGAGCCCCTGGCACAGAGGCCAGGTGGCGATGGTGGCTCACAGCCAGACGGGCTGCCGAGCAGTCCCCTGGTCACGTCACCTCCTCCTGTCTCCCCATCTCTCGCCAGGCCAAGCAGTCCTTAGCGACGCTGACCAAGGACGTGCCCAAGCGGCACTCACTCGCCATGCCGGGCGAGACGGTGCTCAACGGCAACCAGGAGTGGGTGGTGCAGGCAGACCTCCCGCTGACCGCAGCCATCCGGCAGAGCCAACAGACCCTCTACCACTCGCACCCCCCCCACCCTGCAGACCGGCAAGGTGAGTCCTGCCCCGGGCCCCAGCCAGCAGCTGTGGGGGGGGCTTCTTAGGAGACTCTCTGACCAGCGGGGGAGGCAGCCTGTTTATTCCACACTATGGCAGCTTAGGGGAGCCGGGGGCAGAGACCAGGAGCTCCTATTACTGAGAAGCCTAAGAGATGGAACTCAGGCAAAGCTGGATCCAGAGGTTCAGTTAATATCTGGGCCTGTCTTTCTGTCTCCCTCTCAGCCCCACCTGCCTCCATTTGGCCTCATCTTTAATTCATCTCTTTCCAGAAGCAAACAGTCTCCAGAAGTTCCAGGCTTTTAATTAAGGCCCTTACAGGCCCAAGTTTTGAGAAAGAGAAACTTTCTCTCTGTGTCCATGTCTAATCTCAATAGACTCTGACTGGCCTGATCACATGCCTCCCCAGACCACCACTGTGTCCAGGGAGTGGGCATGCTGAGCGGCCAGCCTGGATCACGACTGGGCATCCTAGACAGGGGAGGGGGGCAGGGAAGCTCCTTGACTGACAGCTCCACACAGTCACAGGGGGACTGACCTGACTGTTTTAGATGGTCTCCAGGTACCTGGTGGGGGAGAGGCCCAGCCTCTGGGTAGTGTCTGCACCCACTGCCCACCCAGCTCTGTTCTCTGTCCTCCCTGTGAGTGGTGGCTGCCTCTGTGTGACGGGTGCAGGTTAGAGACAGGTGCCTGGTCTCTGGAGCCCACAGGTCCTGCCATCACCTGCCTGTGAACTCAGCCTCTGACTCCAGGCCACCTCACTGCTCTGTCAGACCCCCTGGCCCCTGGTGGCCAGGACTGTCTCCCTACTGCAGCCCCACCGCTCATGTGCCCACCCAGAGTAGGCCCTCGGTCAGTTGGGCTGGACAGAAGTGTTTTTTTCCCCTCCCTCGCAGACAGGAAGGAACAGCTGGAGGATTTGGGGGGCTTCTGGGCTGTGCCTTCCGAGCTGAGCTAGGCACTGCGTGCTCTGGGCCTGATGTGGGTACGGCACAGGCTGACTTCGTAGATGTGAACACAGCATTATTCCAGGGAGTGATGAGTGCAGGCAGAGAAATCTGCAGCAAGCAGGGGCATTGGTGGGGAACACAGACAGCGGGGTGGGGGGCCAGGGGGCAGCTGGCCAAGGAGGCCTGCGGGACGGCTGAGACCTGAATGAGAGGAGGCCCGACAGGCAGCGGGGCCAGCAGTGCCAGAGGCAGGAAGGGGTGGGGGGCACTGTCAGAGGCCGGGGTGGCTCGGCTCAGTGAGGGGCGGCTGACTGGCGGGTGGTCAGGGCCCCATCCGATCTGGCCTCTCCTTCCATTCTCGGGGTGACCCAGTGGCTGGCTCTCGCCACAGGGCGAGGAGGAGAGGGAGGGCGCCGTGGTCTCCGGGGACAGCCAGCGATGCCCTAGCCGTGCGGGTGGCAGTAGGGTGGAGAGAAGTGGCCGGGCTTGGGTTTGGGTTTGGGGGGCTGCTGATGAGTGGGGGTGGAGGGCAGGGGGAGGGGGGCCAGTGGTGGCTTCCAGGCGGCGTGCTTGGGAGGCTGGTGTTGCCCGGCAGCCAGCATTGTGCCAGGCCTGGGGAGTGTCGGGGGCAGGGGGAGCACAGCTGGTGAGGTCCCTGGAAACGCCACCCCGTGGCCTGCGCCCTAGTGGGGAGAGTCTGGTGGGCTCCAGAGGCTGTGGGTGCTGCTCCCCAGCAGCTGCTCTGTGACGGGTGGGGCTGAGGAGTAAAGGGGTGGGAGGCTAGACAAGCCTCTTCTCTGCACCAGTCGTCTCCTCTGTGTCGTGGGGGCCTCGGGGTGCTCCCTGCAGGGCGGTCAGGGTGGGGGCGCGCTCTCCACCCCACACTTACCCGCTGTCCCTGCTTCGCAGCGGTCAGGGTGAGCCCCTGCCACTCGCGGCAGCCCTCCGTTATCTCCGACGCGTCCGCCGCGGAAGGCGACCGGTCGTCCACGCCCAGCGACATCAACTCCCCGCGACACCGGACGCACTCCCTCTGCAACGTAAGGCCAGCAGCCGCGGGGCCTGGGCCGGGGGCCCTGCCCGGAATCCCAGGGGCGGGCTGGAGGGGTGAAGACGTACCCGCTGTTTCCTCTCGTCCACCCAGGGAGCACTCTGGCGAAGGCACTTCCTGTTCTGTTCTTTCCTTTTGCGAGAAGAGATGGCTGTGGGGAGAGAAAGAGAGGAGGCCCGTTTGCTCCTTGTATCCGGGAGGGCAAGGAAAGTCCAGAGGAAGGCGGGCCCGGGTCGGCCGAGGGGTCTGTGTGCCCCGGGTCCCCTTGGGGGGGGGCCGTGTCCAGGACCCTGGGCCTCCCCTCCCAGACACGGCCCTGGCGGCACCACCTCAGTCCCCTGTGGGGCCGGCACTGCCCTCCGCACAGGAAAGAACGGGGCTGTTCTGAGCTCAGGAGCTTGGGCGCGCACGGCTTCCAGAGAGGAGCCCCATAAACTTGTCCCGAGTCTGTTGCTTATTTAATCAAACGCTTGTTGCTTGCATGCTGAGAGCAGCCACCAAGAGGCCCATGTCCCTGGTCAGCTAACTCCTGCTGATCCGTAGGGCAGATAGACGGGCTCCCCAGGAGTGAGGGGTGAACACAGGTGGGTCAAGTGACTATGGCCAGGAGGAAGCCATGTTGGGGCTCTGTCACAAAACCTGGGGGTTCAGAGTGTGGGGCCACTTTTCAGGCTTGTTCCATCATGGGGCTGACCATAGGGAGGACCCCCCACCCCCTGCCGTGGTCTGAAAACAGAGACAGGGAGAGTTAGGTCTTCAGATGTCCGGGAGGCTTTCTCTCAAAAGCTCTGTTCATGTGACTTTATTAACCAGAGAGAAAGCTCATAAAAAAGAAATGAGGTGAACAGAGAGGGAAAGAAAGACCAAATAACCTTTACTTACCAATGATATGATTATCTACCTGGAAACTCAAGAGAATAACCTGAAAAGCCATTAGCACTAATAATAAGCAAGTACATACGCCACTGGTTGAAAATCAATTTATAAAAAGCAATAGCTTTCCTACATATGAGTTATGATCACGGAAACTTTTTTTTTTTCCCATCTACACTAGCAAGGAGAAGGGCTTATAAAAATAGCTAAGGTTAAGCTTAAAATACATTGCCTGGTCCTGGTGCCCTGGGCAGCCCTGATCGGGATGGGGAGAGGGATCTGGGAATGTCTGCCTCGGGGGTGGGGCAGGCTCCCCATGATGGAGGCAGGGCTGTCCCTCACTCCCAGGCCCTGCTGAGGTTTTGTTTTTTATTTTTTTAATTAGGGCTTTAAGGAAGCCATTTGTGCCAAGACAGAGACCTGCTGACAAAGGCTGTCTTGACTGACAGGACTGAGGCTAGCCCCCAGAGGGGACACTGGCATCTGCTCTGTGGTTCTGAGGGTGCATATGGAGTTATACCCACAGCCAGCCAGCAGTGCCCTTCGTTACTGAGTGGGGAGGAGCGGCCCAGGCAGGGGCCAGATGCCCCTGCAGAGCAGTGCCCTTTGCAGATGAGAACCCCTTCCCAAGGGGCCCTATTTTCTCTTCTGGTGGCGGGCCCAAGTGCTGTAGGAAAACCCATTCTGCTGAAAGGGTTCAGCAAAGACCTCTTGAATCACCTTTGGCACAGGCCTAGCCTGTCTCCAGCTTGGTCTTGAGACATTCCTGCTGCTACCAGTGGTGGGTCTAGCCCATTGATCTCCAGGCTCACTTTATATAGGGCCCTGCCGCCAAGATTCGGGCACTTTAATAAGACAGTTATCCACATCAGTGGGCTCTGGCTGCATTCTCTTTGCCATACATAAACTTGGCAAAAATGAGCCAGTCCAGAGTAGACCTATCTTAGCTGCCTGCCAGTGGATGCTGTTGGCAAACCTTGAGCTGGGATGAAAGACTAAACAACCATATGATCCACCCCTGCCCTCCCTCACCACTTTCATCCCTCATCTCAGCAGATGTGCACACAGGTAGGCCAGGAAGAGCCTGAAAATAGCTCCAGGTAACCCTCTGTTCTCAGGTATCTGACCTGGCACCAATAAGAACAGCCTAGGCTGAATTAAGGACCTCTCATACTCTGGCTACTCGTTTAGAGCAGAGGAGAGGAACTCAGCACAGGGAAGTTGGAGAGGGCTGATTGACACTGGCCCAAGTGACACATATTGAATAATTTTCTTTCTTCAAGGGCATTTTGCCTGCAATTCTGTGAACAACCATCAGGGGTCTCCCCAGTAATGACTTTTGTGATCCAAATGATCTTGTGACCCCACACAGGATAACTTATTCTGGGATGTAGTGAAGGCTTTGTACACCCAGGAGTAGGAGAACTCAGCCAGCAGGAACCAGACAGTCCTTGTAATTAGCTCCACGATACACTGTCTAGAGTCTTTATATCCGTAAATCAGGCTAATGACTCCTGCCTGCCCACCCCACCCCACCCCCCATAAGAAAGTTACTGTGTTGCTTGTAAGGAAAGCTAGAGACTACATTGCCTCCTGAGTTTTTCTGGCTTCACATTCTCTATTATTGTGCTTTTCTCTATAAAATTACATTTCTTTAAGAAAAGGACCTAGTAAAACCAACCTCCAGTCCTAACTCAATGTACCAATTGGGGCTGGAACTCAGATGCCTTTAAGTGACTGAAACGTTGGCCAGAGGATATTGGGGGACAAGAGGCCAGAGCAGGCAAAGGCAGAGGGCCTCAGGTCAGAACCCCTAGTCTAAGAAACATCTCTGCCACGTGAACCCCAGGTTCCATCACTGTGCCATCTGGGAGTGTCTGCTTCAGTGGGTTGAGGACAGGCTCCCCATGATGGAGGCAGAGCTGTCCCTAAGGGATGCCTTCCTTTCACGGAAGATCCCCACGGGCCACCTCTGCTCTCCTGTGTGTGTCTCTGCTATTTCATCTTCCCCTTCTCCTTTGGCTACAGGGCGACAGTCCCGGCCCAGTTCAGAAGAACCTGCACAATCCCATTGTACAGGTAGGTGCATCCTCCCTCACTACTCAGGACCTTCCCCTTCCCCCAGCTTCACCACGACTTCATCCCTTGTCCCCCCGGACCCTTGATATCACCATTTCCAAACTTGGGCACCCAAGGCAGAGGAGCCAGGCCACATCACCCAAATCACACATGGGTTGGTACCTGAGCCAGGCTTAGTACCTGGGCCAGCCCTTCCATGTCCCCTTCCACACCTATACACCTACTGAGTACATCTTCCATCTTCCTGCCCAGGTGAGTCTCCTGACACCAAAGGCTGGTGACCCAGGCCATGGATTCTTGGGGTCCCCTTTGCTGCAGGGAAATTTCCTAAATTTATTTTTAATATTTTCACAAAGCATCAGACTAAGGAGGCTGCAGGGAGAAAACCAGCATGAACGGGAAGCTCAGAAGGGATCTTGGGATCAGTCTCTAGCCTGGGGGTTACCACCTGTTGGTCTATGCACCACACACCTGCATCAGGGTCCTCCAGGGTCAGGTATTCAAATGCAGATTTCTGGGCCCTTCATCTAGGAGATTCTCACCCACCAGATGTGGAGTATGGCCTGGAACTCAGGAAATTCTGATGTGTTTGGGAAACCATTAGTCTAGTCTAATTCTACCTTTTTGACAGAGAATGGCACCCCGTCTGCATGAAGCACTTAACTGTTTGCAAAGTTCTGCAGACACCACACATGCCCAGACCCCTGTAGTCACCCAACAGGACTATCCCGTCATCGTCATCGTCATTGTTCTTAGCCCCACATCACCCATGAAGGCACTGGGCTCAGAGGAGCTAGGGCTCTCCCTGGCCCCAGGGGCCTGACACAATCAGGACTGGAACCCAGGCCCCAGGCCCCCGCTCTCCTGTGTGTGGCCAGTCCTGCCCCTTACTTAGAGGCTTAAGGTCCTTGCTCAGCTGAGACGTCAAGCTCAGGCTGGCTTCTACCTCTTTCTGGAGCTTTCAGGCCCCTTTCCCCAGTCACTGGGATGGGTCGGGGAGCCCTTGCTGCAGTGCCCTGCAGGCCGGGCGCCAGCCCCAGAGAAGCACAAGGGGTGTGGGCACACAGAAGCCACCCTCTGGGCATTTCCATCCTCACTTTAGTGACCTCCTGTGCCCATCACCATGAGTCCTGCTATGTCCCTGAGGCCTGAGGGCTTCCCTAGCTGAGCCACCTTCCCTCAGCATCCTCAACCCCTGGGGTGGGCATGGGGGGTCCCCACTCCCTCCACCCCATCACCGCCTTGCCCAGTCCCGAGCTCAACTTGGCCTTGTTCTTCTCCCCTCCCTGTGTGCCCGGGCCCGACCATTCAGTCACTAGAGGATCTTGAAGACCAAAAACGGAAAAAGAAGAAAGAGAAGATGGGATTTGGCTCCATCTCCCGAGTCTTCGCCAGAGGGAAGCAGCGGAAGTCCCTCGACCCCGGCCTCTTTGATGGTACCGCCCCTGATTATTACATTGAGGAGGACGCAGACTGGTGATGCCACCTCCCCCGCCCGCCAAAGGCGGGTGTCTGTGCGTGTGGCCGTGCGTGCGAGCGTGGGGGCACGGGGGGCACGGGGGCGCGTGCGCCTGGGCGCGTGGGTGCGGGTGGCCGGGCCTGGAGGAGCAGACGCGCGTGTGCCCCCTCCCCGCGTCCACCTCTGTAACTGATGTACATACTACAAACGTGTGTGACTCTGTCAACTCTGTTGTCTTTGGGGCGATACAGCTGTGTTGTTAACCTCAGTTTGTTTTTTTGTTGTTTTTTGGTTTGTTTTTTTTTTTCAATGTTTGTTCTTTTTTTTTTTCCTTATTGTTTGGTTCGTTGGGTTGTCCCCCGCCCCCACTTTTCCCCTCCCCTCCTCCTTTTTATGAAACTTGAAAACTTGAAGGACTGCTGTGTATTTGTAAATAACAAAATTATTGTGCACTCTGTGCTTGTAAATGTCCCTTGTCCAAACTGCTACTTTCGGAGCCCGTCTCCCCAAGAATGTGGTCTGTTTTTGATGTGTCCCTCCCTCCCACCCTCTCCCAGTGTGAACGCGTGGGACCAGACCCTGACTCGGGGCGCAGCGCCCAAGTCACTTTAACCACCCATTGCCACCGTCATCAGGGTAAGGTCCGCCCTCCGCAAGGACTTTGGAGCCTAGGCCGAGCGCCTTTTCCGGGCTGGGTTTGTCAGAGATCAAACGGGCTCTTTTTAACAGCCTGCCAGTTTTTAAATTGCGTTGCCGTTTCTTTCTTGATGGAGAAAAAAAAAAGAAGAAAATTGTTTCGTTTAATTTATTTGCACAAATGCAGAAAACTTATTCTATCTAAATTATTGCATAAATATGGGGATGTCTATTTTTCCACGGGGCGGGCGGGAGGTGGGTGTTTCTGTCGACTTGTCTGTTCTATTCTCACGCTGCTGCCAGACTGTGCAAGGTCGAGTTTGGGGTGACCAGAACCCAGGGACCATTGGCTTTCAAAGCTTGCTCGTTCTGTTCTTCCTTCTCTCCCCCCCCCCAAATTCTTCCGCCCCTGCATGGAAGTGTGTCCACCTGGCTTCCAGAGCTCTCCCTGGCCTCACTGGCTCTCCATTTATTTATCTGAACTAGAGGTCACTGACCTCGGTGGGTGCCGTGCCCACTGCAGTGGTCACCTTCTCTCGGGTCTGACTTTGAGAGAGGTTGAGCCCCGGGCGAGCTGGCCGACCCCTCACCATAGGGCATGACCGCAGGCCTGAGTAGGCTCCTCTCTGCACCTGTGTCCTTCTCATCTTTGGTCTGCACAAAGGTCAGGAGTCATGCGGGGAGGTGCCCCACTCCAGGGGAGTGCTATGGGGTCACAGCATCCAGCACCACCCCCTTGCTTTCTGGTTGGTTCCTTCAGCCACACTTAAAAGAATTCGGGATCCCAGGGGCCCCCACCTCCCACTTGTCACTGCAGCCCGAGCCCGCTCATCCCGGGAAAGAAGGGTGGGTGGGAACATTTGGGGAGCAGTGTGGGCCCACAGTGAGGCCTCACCATCAAAGGAACCATGTGTTTTGTGACGCTGGGTCATGGAGGAGACATGAGCTGCTCAGCCAGGTGCTTCCCGGAACTAAAACTCCATCTCCCTTTTCTCTTGACCTGTGAATCCGTCCCCGCTCTCTCTCCATCTTAACCACTAACACAGCTCCATTACACCACCCTCTAAACAACCAGAGTTGTGTTTCCACTCACAGCGACACGTTGGGCTCTTAAAGAGAAACGAGATTTTAAGATGCTGGGGCGTCTCTCTCAGAATGGATAGGATACTTCGTCCAAAGTCTCTAAAGCAGAGAGGCCCCGGCGCCTTCCCCGCAGACCCGGTGGGGGTGGGAAGCAGGTGAGGAGCTAGCGGGCACCCTTTTCCCTTGGCTAAGCTGTTTGACGAGCCTGGCCGGGAGGGAGAGCTGCCAGAGCTGCATCTCTCTCTGCAGAGAGAGATCTAGAAAATACTTCCTCCCCCACCCCCTCCCAAACTGGTGAATTTTAATTTTTTTGGTTGATTTTTATGGTTTTCCCTTTACTTATGAGAAACTAAGATCACAACCACTCCTGGTAATGATTTAGTAGTTCCTTTTCATTTCAGTTTTTTGTAAATTAGGAGATAATTCTAAGAGTTACTAAGGATGATTTATTTAAGAGAACTACGTCACATAGCGAATGAGTTATGGGTAACATTAGATGAAATAACCTTTCCCGTGGGAAAGGTTTCTGGAAGGCATGGATGCAAATATAAAATATTAAAAAAAATCTAAATAAAGCTTATTTTAAAATATTATCGAATTCTATGTTATTTGATTGCTTCTCTCTGGCTCTGGCGGGAGGCTGCGCCCTGCTGGGAGGCAGAGCCCCCATAACCTGTTCATGGAATCCCACGCTGGGTCCCCAGGGGCTGCCGGGAGGGGCCGAGGAAAGCTGGCTGGATTCTGGGCCCGAGGAGGGGCTGAGGCCAGGCTGGCCTCCCAGAGGCATGTCCCCTTGGCCGGCCTGACTAATTTGGAAGAGCTGTGGGCTTCCAGGGCTGCCCCTGGTCTTAGCGCATCTCTAAGCCGGGGGCCCTGCCCAACCCCAGCCAGCAGCCCCCCATCAGCTTTCATCTGCCTCCTTCCCCTCCCGGCTCCTTGCACAGGCCCAGCTACGAGTTTGGGGTATGTCGCTTCCTGCAGATGCCAGGGGATCTCTGCCTAGCCCCAGCTTCCTCCTTCCCTGGGCACAAAGTGGCATTTAAGAGAGATGGAGGGAGTCACAGCGCAGACCTGGCTTTTCCAAGCCTTCCACTATGAAACTCCAGTGTGGCCCCAGAAGAGGCCACAGATACCCCAATCCCTGAGTGTAGCGCTGGCCCTCAGCCTCCACCTCCCAATTTAAAAGTCCTCTCCAGCAATAAAACTGATGGAAACTGGCCTGCTAAGTCCCCTGTCATTTCTGCTGGAAGAAAACCCGAAGCTCTTCAATGCAGAGCACATGGAAATCCGGGGCTAGTGAGGATGTAGGTGGAAGCAGGCTCCTGAGTTGATCGCTGCAAGGGACTTAAGAGCATCCACCCTGGCAGTTCTCCACCTGGCCACCTTAGACTCACCAGGGAGCTTTCAAAAACACGACTAATGCCAGGCCACCACCCTGAGTTCCTGACTCGGGGTGTTGGTAAACCTTCCCTAGAGATTCTAATGTGCATGCAGGACTGAGGACGTCAGGGCTGATCCCAGGAGGGCAAGTGTTCCAATCACGTGCCCCTGCCCCACCTCCCAGGCCTCATGCAGACATCACCAATCGATTTAAGCCCTGTCCACCCAGCCCCAAAGGCCGCTGATTTACTCACTTTATAAATTTCTGGAAGCCACTGCCAATAAGGGGAAAGCCAGTTTGCCATGCCCAAATTCACCCAGCCCCCTACCCAGAACAGATGGGGAAAACTTTGGACCAGACATGAGTGACTTGATCGAGATCCTACCTAGCCTGTGAACTCAAGGACCGGGTACATCTTGTTCAAATCTCTGTAGTTCTAGTCAAAAACCACACTATCTCCTTTGTTGAAAGAATTTCTTCTGAGACTTGGCCCCAAGTGATCCAGTTTCAAGTGGTGGACATTGGAGTAAGCCTGTCCAAGGAATGCAGGGCCCATGCACAGCTGCACAGGTTGTGCACTGCGTCACTCCAGCAGGCACCCCCTGGGTTGTGCAGTGCACAGCCTGCATGGCCATACTTGGTCGCTCTTCTGCGTGTCTTCCACCTTTGCTGGTAAGCTCCAGCAGGTGTCACCTAATAATAGTAATAACAATAATAATAATAATAATAATATCATCTAACACGTATTAAGCACTTACCGTGGACCAGTGTCTGTGCTGCGTACTTTACGTGTATTAACTCGGTTAACCTTCCAGCAACTTGCATTATGGATGATAAAAACAGGTTGAACAAATCACCTAGGGCCATGAAGCTGGTAATGAGCAGAATTAGCTTCACACCTGGGGAGGCGGGCTGCAGAGCTCATCCAGAACCACCCAACCCTCTGGGTAGAGAGGACTGCCGAGGAGCAGGTAGGCACCTCCCATGCTCTGCCCAAAAGCCTGGTTTGAACCTTGCCTCACCGCCCCCAGTCCTTCTTGTAGCCTCTGGCATAGCCTAACACAGCGTTACCTTTGAGACTGAGCCTTTTATCCCCAAGCCCTGAGCCCCCACCCCACCCCAGAGCAGAGCGGAAAGGAGCTGTGTCCGTTGCAGACAGGACCACCCTGCTTGGCCTGCGTTTGAACTCCTCGCTGCACCTTCCCCTCCCGGCTCCTTGCACAGGCCCAGCTACCGAGTTTGGGGTATGCATCCTGGTGGGGGGTGGTCCCTCCCTGCCCCAGGTGGAGCCTGGCCCAGGCACCGCCCCAACCAGTGCCCGAGGGTGTTGAGCTGCTGCTCACCCCCTGGGTGCCTGAATCAGGGCTAGCAGGCAGCACCTCTGGGTGTCCTTAATCCCTTAACAGGACCTTTAGAAACTCAAGCAGCCCTCTCACCAAAAACCTGCATTTTCACAAAAAGTGTTGCACAGACACCCCAGCTCATCTGCTCTGGACAAATGTCTCTTCAGATTTTCCAGTCAGGTTTGGTGGGGCAAACAGACCGTGGTCCCGCCTCCTACCAGCTCTGTTTTTCAGTGAAAGAAGCATAGTGATGATAAAGTAGCAAGAGAACCCACATATATTAACTTTAGCTTAGAACAGGTAGAGTCATAATTTTGTATTATGGGAAAAAGCCCTGTAAACTCACTGTAGCTGAGGGGTTGGCCTGGACCATGTGGTAGAAGTTGCTTGGCACAGCGGGTCACTACAGGCAAAGTGAGGGTGTCAGTTGGCTATGACAGCGGTGTGTGGCTAATTCCTTCTGACCCAACAGCATAGTTACTAGAAAATTAATATGCCACCCTGCACTCCAGTGGGTCACCCCAACAAACTGAA